ATCAGTATTTATCATTGTATCGTGTTTTCATGTCTTAGGTGATAAAATGGAAAGCATATACAGAAATAGAGATATTTTCATTACTTTGACATGAAAAAGACTTGAAACTGAGCTCAAAGTAGCGGAAATGTTCGATTTTTACCATGTTGTAGGTATAAATAAATCACAACCACACTCCAATACCCGTCAACTGGGGAAGTTCTAATATTCTTTCACTAGTGCACTGATAATAATTATACCATTTTTACAATAAGTAGTAGTCTGCATAACAGTAAATTTTGTATTTATTTGTATGAATAAAAAAATCAAAATATAAAGCCACATAATATAAGAGGGGCCTAGAGATGTGACAAATGAAACAGCGCATATGTTAATTTAGTGCCACAAATGTCTACCTTGTTTATTCTGGACCCATTTTGCAATTGGCTCTTTTTTAGTTTGCGTGAAAATTGGCCAAATTGGCCAATTTCTGACCACCAATATTGGGTAGCCAAATTAGTAACTGAGAGGTTTTCTTGTAACTCAGCTGATAGTTAAAATGGAGTTCAAAAGAATAGCTAATAGTTTGGTCAACTGGAACACGGGCATTGGCTGAAAATAGGGCTCCCAATGTCTGCCAAATATCGCCGATAACGCATAGTCCGCCAGACCGCAACTTTCGGCGGGAACATAATTCCATGAGTGTTCGACCAAATTTCGTACTTTTGGTGTCATTACCATCGGAAAAGATTCTCTAACAATTCATAAGAAAAAATAATTTTTTTTTTTTTAAATTGATTGACATAGAATGACAGTTTCAGAGAAAGGCGGCCAGAAAACAGTCAAAGGGTTAAAGTGCAGCATTGTACTACCCCTTTCCATAGTCCATTCGGATAATATAAAAGTAACGGTTTCCCTGAATCCCTTCACTAAATATTACCCTGCTCACAATCCAACAGCTTTCAGGTCCCAAATACCATTCCGTCTCCATTCACTCCTAACACCTCACACCACGCTTGCAGGAAGTCTACCACCCATCGCCCACAAAACTCCTTTACCCACCTCCCTCCCAACTTTTTCAAGGACGACCCCTACCCGCCCTTCATTCCCCTACAGATTTTTTAAAACGCTCCCCATGTCATCTACTTTGATCCATTCTCTCTAAATGACCAAACCACCTAACAACCCCTCTCAATCAGCCCTCTGAATAATGCTTTATTTAACTCCAAACCTTCTCCTAATTTCACTCTCACTCTCTCCTTCCTCCCGAATTCTCTGCATAATACTTACACTTCACATTGCCCTTAGACAGGACATCTCTACCACCCGCCTCAACTGCCTCCCTCGCTGCAGCATTTACAACCCAAGCTTCACTACCCATATAAGAGTGTTGGAACCAACATAACTTCATACATTCCCTTCTTTGCCTCCATAGATAACGTTTTTTTGTCTCCATATATACCCTCAACGCACCACTCACCACCTTTTTCCCTTCATCAATCTTATGTTAACTTTGTTTGTTCTTTTTTTTTTTAACAAGTCGGGGGGGGCCGTCTCCCACCGAGGCAGGGTGACCCAAAAAGAAAGAAAATTCCCAAAAAGAAAATACTTCATCATCATTTCAACACTTCACCTCACTCACACATTAATCACTGTTATTGCAGAGGTGCTCAAGCACAACAGTTTAGAAACATATACATATTGAAGATACCAACATATCCCTCCAAACTGCTAAGATCCCGAACCCCTCTTTAGTGTGCAGGCATTGTATTTTCCCAATTCCAGGACTCAAGTCTCTTCATAAATCCATCTGCTACTACGTCAACGCCCAAATATCTGAAAACGTTCACGTCTTCCATATTCCTTCTCTCCAATCTGATATACCATTTTTCTTTATCTAAATCATTTGATACCCGCATCGCCTTAACACTTTCCTATGTCCTTCAACTTTCTCCATTATACAACATTCCTCCATACTCGTCCACTAACCTTTGCAACTTTTTCTTTAGACTCTCCCATAACACAGTATCATCAGCAAAAAGTAACTGTGTCAACTCCCACTTTGTATTGATTCCCCAAATTTAATCCCACCATCTCTCCCGAACAACCCTAAGCATTTACTTCTTTTAACACCCCAATCTAGAAATATATTAAAAATATAACTATATTTAGTAGTAGTTGGGTAAGACAGCAACCTGCCCCGGAGGTACTAACCGTTCCTGCCATGAGCTGTAAAATGAAAGCCTGTAATTGTTTTACATGATGGTAGGATTGCTGGTGACTTTTGTCTGTCTCATAAACATGCAAGGTTTCAGGTATTGTCTTGCCTACTTCTACTTACACTTAGGTCACCCTACACATACAGTACAAGCATATATAAACACATCCCTCGGGGTTTTCATCTATTTTCTTATCTAGTTCTTGTGCTTGTTTTATTTCCTCATTATCTCTGGGGAAGAGAACAGAATTCTTCCTCCGTAAGCCATTGTGTTGTAAAAGGCAACTAAAATGCAGAGCCACGGGGCTAGTAATCCCTCTCTTGTATAAATGACTAAATTTGAAAAGAGAAACTTTTGTTTTTTCCTTGTTGGGCCACCCTGCCTCGGTGGATTACGGCAGTTTTGTTGAAAGAATATACTATATTCTTATTTAATATATATATATTTTTTTCAACCAACCGCTGTAATCCCACCGAGTCCCAGGTGCCCCCCCCCCGACCCCCAAAAAAAAAAAGTTTCTCTTTTTAATTTAGTACTCTATACAGGAGAAGGTTACTAGCCCCTTGTTCCCGCATTTAGTCCGCCTCATAAAACACGCATGCTTACGGAGGAAGAATTCTGTTCCACTTCCCCATGGAGATAGGTGGGGGGGGAAGGGGGAAAGAGGAACATAAACAAGAAAAAGAACTAGAAAGAAAACAGAAGAAAACCCTGAGGTGTGTGTATATATATATATGCTTGTACATGTATGTGTAATGTGACTTAAGTGTAAGTAGAAGTAGCAAGATGTACCCGAAATCTTGCATGATCATGAGACAGAAAAAAGAGACACCAGCAATCCTACCATCGTGCAAAACAATTACAGGCTTTCATTTTACACTCACTTGGCAGGACGGTAGTACCTCCCTGGGTGGCTGCTGTCTACCAACCTACTACCTAGGATTATTATATATATTATTATTATTATCAGTGCTTTTATTACTATTAAATTCTTAGAAGAACACTAAATCCATAGCAGTTATACATGAAGAGCATGGAAAAGAAAGGAATTACCTTCAATCCATGAAGTGGTGGGTAGTTCCAATACCTTATCTCAAGAACCTGTTACCAGTATGAAGGCACCTTCCTTTAATGGCCACAAATTTGTAAGGATAAAGGTAATACTAAATTATGAAAGCATAATTTTGTCAGATCAGGCATATTTTATATCTTAGAACTCGCCTTTCTTTTACTCTTTGAGTGTCGAGACCCCTGCTCGCAAACTTGCTCATGGCGTCAAAGAATTTAAAAAAGAAAAAATTATTTTTCTTATGAAATGATGGAGAATCTTTTTCCGAAAGTAATGAAACCAAAAGTTCGAAATTTGATGGAAAAGTTAAGGAATTAGGCTCTCACAAAGTTAGCGGTCTTGGCAATATTTATGCATAAGCAATTTTGCCCACTTTGAGCCCTATTTTGAGGCAATGCCTTTGTTCCACTTGACCAAACTCAGCTATTTTGCTAGATCTCCTTATATTCTATCGACTGAGTATGAGAAACCACCCATTTACCTATTTCAACTACACAAAAAAGTGATGAGAAATTACTGATTTGGCCAATTTCACACAAAATTCAAGAAAGACAATTTCAAAATAGAGGTCAGAATAAACAATGCAGACATTCCTGGCACTAAAATAACATTTTTCTCTATTCATTAGCCATGTCTCCAGGCCCCTCTTATATTACACAGGCTTTTTATTTTGAATTTTTTATTCTTATGAGGCCTGGTCATAGACTGGGCCACGGAGGCATTGATCCCCGAAACCCTCTCCAGGTATACTTCAGGTATATACAAAAAATAGATTATATACTGTTATTCAGACTACCACATAATTGTAATAATTGTATAAATAATATCAGCATATTCGTGAATGCATATTAGACCCACCAGTTGACGTGTACTGAATGACTGATGTGATTTATTTACTCTTGAACATTGTCAAAATCTAACGTTTCCGCTACTTTGAGCTCAATTTCAAGCTACTTTTAGTTGGTAAACCATTCAAAATCACCTCTATTTCTGTAATAAACCTTCCATTCTATCAAATGAGACCAAGAAAATGAGAAAAAACCTTAAATACAATACAAAAATACACCACAAAATTGCTGTTTTAAACTAAAACAGGTCAGTTTTTTTCTTGTTATGCACTGCTTTCTGCAGGTTTTTTATACTGTGCACACTGACCACACAGATCCATTCTCTCATGTGTAGGCCTACCAGCATTCTCCCGCACAATTTGAAGCCACTAGAATTTTGGAGTTGTATTACGGGACCGACACTGGCTTCAAAGCCATAATTTTATGGGACCGACAACGAAGGGGTTAAGTAGTGATCTAATCTGGTTAATATTGACCTAAATAAGAAAGAAATATTAAAAGGTAAGATATTTAAGTCCAAGAAAGTCACTGAAGAAATTCTGAGTGAAATCCCATACTTAATTTTCTATTGAAGGGTAATGTGCCAATCTCAAAAACAAAAGAGAACTGTAAAAAAAAAACTCAAATAATTGAATGCATTAACAGGTTACCCATCAGTAAAAAGTTGGCTAATGAAATTCTTTGCATTAAGAATCCCGTGAACTTGGGGTTTGACCATATATCCACAACAGAGTTTAATAAAAGAATGTTTCTGTATATTTAGAGCATAAAGAGATTTTATAATTACTTTAATATGTCTACATGAACTTGTTCAATTAAATTACAGTATTTTCAGTTAGTCACTCAACACTAATTACAGAGGTAAGGTAAAGTTTGATCACTTACCTTCTGTATTTCTGCAGTTGGTCAGCACCAGAGATCTCAGTCTGGGTTCCCTTAACAGCTTCCTTCTCTAGCCATGTAAAGTACCGACACAAGGCTGCACCATCTCTAATGTGACACAACTCCATTCCTTTAATAAAAAATGTATCTCATATGAACATGATCTACTTATGGAGGAAAATCTTATTCTCCCAGTCTATCTGTGGGTAAATAATACATACAGTGGTACCTTGGGATACGAACTTAATTTGTTCCAGAAGGCTGTTCGAGTGCCAATACCGAACAAATTTGTCCTCATAAGGAATAATGTAAATTAGATTAATCCATTTCAGACCTCCAAAAATACACTTACAAAAATACGCTTACATAACTGTTCAAGTTGAGAGCTGTTCGTACGTCGAGGTACCACTGTATTATATATTTAACTTTATTTTTATTAAGAGATTAAAACAGGTATTTTATAATAATTAGTAGAAGCTTTTTTTTAACACACTAGCCATCTCCCACCAAGTCAGGGTGACCTGAAAAAGAAGAAACATTTTCAACATTGTTCACTTTATCCCTCTCTTGCCATAGGCCTGCTGATACTACAGTTTAGATGCCCTTTCAAACTGCAATTATCCCCCACCTCTCCTTCAGAGTGAGGGCACTGTACTTCTCACCTCCACCCCTCCTTCACTGTACTTCCCACTTCCAAGTCCCAAAAACTATTTGCCTTCACTCACTCTCATCTAACACTCTCACACATGCCTCCTAAACCCCTCTCTCCCCAACCATTCCTAAGGTGACCCCTACCCTACCCTCCTTCCACTAGAGATTTATATACCCTCCAAGTCACCTATTTTGCTCCATCCTCTCAAAATGCCCAAACCACCTCAACAACCCTTCCTCAATCCTCTGGATAATACTTTTAGGAACTCCACACCTCCTCCTACTTTCCAAGTTATGAATTCTCTGCATAATATTTACACCACATACTTTGTTGAAAATAAGAAAAAGTTTTGGAGTGAGATTAACAAGTTAAAGAAGCCTAAAGAACAAATGGATTTGTCAGTTAAAAATAGGAGAGGAGAGTTATTAAATGGAAAGTTAGAGGTATTGGGAAAATGGAGGGAATGTTTTGAGGAATTGTTAAATGTTGATGAAGATAGGGAAGCTGTGAATTCGTGTATAGGGCAAGGAGGAATGACATCAGTTGCGAGTGTGGGGGATGTTCATGAGGCAGTAGGTAAAATGAAAGGGGGTAAGGCAGCTGGGATTGATGGGATAAAGATAGAAATGTTAAAAGCAGGTGGGGATATAGTTTTGGAGTGGTTGGTGCAATTATTTAATAAATGTATGGAAGAGGGTAAGGTACCTAGAGATTGGCAGAGAGCATGCATAGTTTCTTTGTATAAAGGCAAAGGGGACATAAGAGAGTGCAAAAATTATAGGGGGATAAGTCTGTTGAGTATACCTGCTAAAGTGTATGGTAGAGTTATTATTGAAAGAATTAAGAGTAAGACAGAGAATAGGATAGCAGATGAACAAGGAGGCTTTAGGAAAGGTAGGGGGTGTGTGGACCAGGTGTTTACAGTGAAACATATAAGTGAACAGTATTTAGATAAGGCTAAAGAGGTTTTTGTAGCATTTATGGATTTGGAAAAGGCGTATGACAGGGTGGATAGGGGGGCAATGTGGCAGATGTTGCAGGTGTATGGTATAGGAGGTAGGTTACTGAAAGCAGTGAAGAGTTTTTACGAGGATAGTGAGGCTCAAGTTAGAGTATGTAGGAAAGAGGGAGATTATTTCCCAGTAAAAGTAGGCCTTAGACAAGGATGTGTGATGTCACCGTGGTTGTTTAATATATTTATAGATGCGGTTGTAAGAGAAGTAAATGCGAGGGTCTCGGCAAGAGGCGTGGAGTTAAAAGATAAAGAATCACACATAAAGTGGGAGTTGTCACAGTTGCTCTTTGCTGATGATGCTGTGCTCTTGGGAGATTCTGAAGAGAAGCTGTAGAGGTTGGTGGATGAATTTGGTAGGGTATGTAAAAGAAGAAAATTAAAAGTGAATACAGGAAAGAGTAAGGTTATGAGGATAACAAAAAGATTAGGTGATGAAAGATTGGATATCAGATTGGAGGGAGAGAGTATGGAGGAGGTGAATGTATTCAGATATTTGGGAGTGGACGTGTCAGCGGATGGGTCTATGAAAGATGAGGTGAATCATAGAATTGATGAGGGGAAAAGGGTGAGCGGTGCACTTAGGAGTCAGCAGAGACAAAGAACTTTGTCCTTGGAGGCAAAGAGGGGAATGTATGAGAGTATAGTTTTACCAACGCTCTTATATGGGTGATGAATGTTGCAGCGAGGAGAAGGCTGGAGGCAGTGGAGATGTCATGTCTGAGGGCAATGTGTGGTGTGAATAAAATGCAGAGAATTCGTAGTTTGGAAGTTAGGAGGAGGTGCGGGATTGCCAAAACTGTTGTCCAGAGGGCTGAGGAAGGGTTGTTGAGGTGGTTCGGACATGTAGAGAGAATGGAGTGAATCGAAATGACTTCAAGAGTGTATCAGTCTGTAGCGGAAGGAAGGCGGGGTAGGGGTCGGCCTAGGAAAGGTTGGAGGGAGGGGGTAAAGGAGGTTTTGTGTGCGAGGGGCTTGGACTTCCAGCGGTCATGCATGAGCGTGTTTGATAGGAGTGAATGGAGACAAATGATTTTTAGTACTTGACGTGCTGTTGGAGTGTGAGCAAAGTAACATTTATGAAGGGATTCAGGAAACCGGCAGGCCGGACTTGAGTCCTGGAGATGGGAAGTGCAATGTCTACACTCTGAAGGAGGGGTGTTAATGTTGCAGTTTAAAAACTGTATCGTGTAAAACACCCTTCAGGCAAGACAGTGATGGAGTGAATGATGGTGAAAGATTTTCTTTTTCGGGCCACCCTGCCTTGGTGGGAATTGGCCGGTGTGTTAATAAAGTAAAAATTTCTTCTTTATTTCTTATCTCCATGGGAAAGTGGAACAGAATCCTTCCTCAGTAAGCCATGCATGTCATAAGAGGCAACTACAATGCCGGGATCAAGCGGCTAGTAACCACTTCTCCTGTTTACATTGTCAAAGTTAAAAAGAGAAACTTTCATTTTTCTTTTTAGGTCACCCTGCCTAATTGGGATATGGCCAGTTTGATAAAAAAAAAAAAAATTTTTTTACAGTGGATGAAGAAGGTAAGCAAAAACTGCTACAATAATAACTTACCTGCAATGGATCCAAACCTATAGAAGCATTCAATGTACAGTAGGGCCCCACTTACATGGCAGGTTAGGTTCCAGGCTACTGCCGGAATGCAGACATCTCCGGAAACCAGAACACCATTTTTTCCACTTATCAATGCATGTAAATGCCAGGTAACAAGTTTACACTAACATATATTATGCTGGCAATAGGACTAGGCATTAAAAACAATAAAAAGTAAAATACATACACAGTACACCCATTACTTACCTTAAAATATTTGTAGTCTTAATGTAGGGTGAGAGGCGAGTTTAATTTGTAGGTAGTCAGGTTTGGGAGGTATGGTAGCCAGCCAGGTCAGCCCTCCCCACCCACACGTAATATACTACATTTAATTAAAGCTCCCCAGAGTGATAAAATACTGGTACAGTACATTCAGTAATTGCCTTCAAATATTTGTAGTCTTAATGTAGGGTGAAAGGTGAGTTTTATTTGTAGGAAGTCAGGTTTGTGAAGTACGTAGCCAGCCAGGGCAGCCCTCCCCACCCCACCCACACGTAATATACTACGATATTTAATTTAAGCTCCCCAGAGCGATAAAATACATATATAGTACATTCATTAATTACCTTAAAATATTTGTAGTCTTAATGTAGGGTGAGAGGTGAGTTAGTCAGATTTGAGAAGTATGTAGCCAGCCAGGGCAGCTCTCCCCACCCCACCCACACATAATGTAAACAAACCAGATGAACGCGTCTGGTTTTCGTCACTTTACATTGTGTACAAGTTGTCTCCACGTTGATACAGTAGAATAAATAAAGAGAAACACTCCCATTCTCATGTAACACCATTTTTAGAAGAAATGATGCCCTGAGTGAAGGCATACGAAAGGAATAATTTTCTAGTTACTCCTAGCAATATTATAGTGTACACATTGTCTCTGATGTTGGACTACAAATTGCTTGGCTACCACAAGTCCTACAAGTTGTCTGGCTACCACAAGTCTACAAGTTGCCTGGCTACCACAAGTTCTACAAGTTGTCTGGCTATCACAAGTCCTACAAGTCGCCTGGCTACCACTAGTCCTACAAGTCACCTGGCTACCACATCTCATATTTATGTTAGTTTATTCTACTGTGGGGTGTATTTAGATGGATTAACAAATGTCTATATTAACGTTTTATACAAGTGATTATTAGAGTGATTATTATAATTATTCTTTCTTTCAACAAACCAGCCATATCCCATTGAGGCAGGGTGGTCCAAAAAGAAAAACAAAAGTTTCTCATTTTAAATTTAGTAATTTATACAGGAGAAGGGGTTACTAGCCCCTTGCTACCAGCATTTTAGTCGTATTTACAACACGCATGGCTTACGGAGGAAGATTTCTGTTCCACTTCCCCATGGAGATAATAGGAAATAAACAAGAACAAGAACTAGTAATAAAATAGGAGAAAACCCAGAGGGGTGAGTATATATATATACAGTGGACCCCCGAGTTTCGTGATTAATCCGTTCCAGAGAGTCTGCCGACTGGCAAAATTCATGATTGGCGAATCTATTTTCCCCATAAGAAATAATGGAAACCCAATTAATCCGTTTCAGACAGCCAAAAGTATTAACAAAAAATAATTTTTTTAAAGATTAAATATAGATTTACATACAGACAACAATGACAAATAAATATAAAGCATTAATAAAATGGATAAATGAACAATTAACATCACACTTAACCTTTATTGATTCTTGTTGGTGTAGGAGTACCGTAGGTAGGAGGCAAGAGGAAGGCGAGTTTATTATGCTTCAATATGACGCTAATATTATCTCTACGGCTTATTTATTTATCACAATTCATCTAATATGACATTATAAACAATATTAATAACATAGAAACATGATATATACTCTAGAATGAATAA